TCTCTGGGCAACCTGTGCCAGGGTTTCACCACCCTCATTGTAAAAAATTTCTTCCTTAGATCTAGTCTAAATCTCCCCTCTTTTACTTTAAAACCATTCCCCCTCGTCCTGTCGCAACAGGCCCTGCTAAAAAGTCTGTCCCCACCTTTCTTATAAGCCCTCTTTAAGTATTCAAAGGCCACAATAAGGTCTGCCTGGAGCCTTCTCTTCTCCAGGCTGAAAAACCCCAACTCTCTCAGCCTGTCTTCATAGGAGAGGTGCTCCAGCCCACTGATCATCTTTCTGGTTCTCCTCTGGACTCGCTCCAACAGGTCCATGTCCTTCTTATGTTGGGGACCCCAGAGCTGAACACAGTACTCCAGGTAGGGTCTCACGGGAGCGGAATAGAGGGGGAGGATCACCTCCCTCGACTTGCTGGTCACAGTTCTTTTGATGCAGCCCAGGATACGGTTGGCTTTTCAGGCTGCAAGCGCACATTGCCGGGTCATGTTGAACTTCTCATCAACCAACACCCCCAAGCCCTGCTCCTCAGGGCTGCTCTCAATCCATTCTCCACCCAGCCTGTATCTGTGCTTGGGATTGCCCTGACCCATGTGCAGGACCTTGCACGTGGCCTTGTTGAACTTCATGAGGTTCGCACAGGCGCACCTCTCCAGCCTGTCAAAGTCCCTCTGGATGGCATCCCATCCCTCCAGCATGTCAACCACACCTCACAGCTTGGCGTCATTGGCAAACTTGCTGGGGGTACACTCAATCCCACTGACCATGTCGCCGACAAAGATTTTAAACAGCGCCGGTCCCAATACCGACCCCTGAGGAACGCCACTCATCACTGGTCTCCATTTGACATCAAGCCGTTGACTGCAACTCTTTGAGTGCAACCATCCAGCCAATCCCTTATCCACCAAGTGGTCCATCCGTCAAATCCATGTCTCTCCGATTAAGAGACAAGGGTGTCGTGCAGGACAGTGTCAAATGCTTTGCACAAGTCCAGGTAGATGACGTCAGTTGCTCTTCCCTTATCCACCAACGCTGACACCCCGTCATAGAAGGCCACCAAATTTGTCAGGCATGATTTGCCCTTAGTGAAGCCATGTTGGCTGTCACCAATCACCTCCTTATTTTCCATGTGCCTTAGCACAGTTTCCAGGAGGATCTGCTCCATGATCTTGCCAGGCGTAGAGGTGAGACTGGCTGGCCTGTAGTTCCCTGGGTCTTCCTTTTTTCCCTTTTTAAAAAAGGGGGTTATGTTTCCCCTTTTCCAGTCAGCGGGAACTTCACCAGACTGCCACAACTTCTCAAATATGATGGATAGTGGCTTAGCAAACTTCATCCGCCTCAGTTCCCCCAGGACCTGCGGACACATCTCAAAAGGTCCCATAGACTTGTGCACCTTCAGGTTCCTTAGATGGTCTCAAACCTGATCTTCTCCTACAGTGGGCAGTTCTTCATTCTCCCAGTCCCTGCCTTTGCCTTTTGCGACTTGGGCAGTGTGGCTTGAGCACTTGCTGGTGAAGACTAAGGCAAAGAAGTCGTTGAGTACCTCAACCTTCTTCATGTCCCAGGTAACCAGGTCTCCCATTTCCTTCTGGAGAGGACCCACATTTTCCCTAGTCTTCCTTTTATCACTGACATACCTATAGAAGCTTTTCTTCTATTTCTAGTCCAAAGTTTAATACACAATTAGAATTTACACAGTAGCTGTTAAAAATAACACTCATAACAGGAAAAGATCACTTTGATAGCAAGGGTGTCAGACTAAAATGCCATTCAGTAAGCATGGGATACAGGGGAAATATATAACTCCAAGACACAAAAAATAAACCTGGCAGCCAAACCTAAACCACATTAGATTCAGACAATTTAATAGCAGTAAGTGGAAAGCCGGAAGAGATGATTTTAGAGCCAAGTTATACTGTGGCTGGAAACACGTACTGTAGATCTTGCTACTGTTGAAAAGGTGATAAAGTATGTTAAAGGACAATCTGACACTGCTCAAGTATTTAAACATGCTACCTATTTTAGCAACAAGACTTCAGAGAGGCGTTTCCAAGTTTTGATATGGGTCACAAGTTAACAATACTTATTACACACAAGACTCACACTTCAGTATTCATCATTGTAATGATCAATACTGATGAACAGTCCTCAAAAGTTTTGATTTCCATTAGATTTTAGTTAACTATCACGAGAACTGGAAGTGATTGTAAGTCCGTAAGAATAACCGAAGAAACAAAATAAATAAATCATATTATATGAGAGTTCAAGGAGCTCACGCAGATTTACAGTTGAAAGAGTTCAAAGAGTGCTCAACTTGACTACACAGGGAGAATACACTTGAGAGAAGGACCTCACATTTAGAAGCCAGGAATAAAACACAATCCAGGTGCAGGAAGCTGATGCTAGAAATACGATTTTTTTTTTCCCTACCCAAGAAAAAACCCTGTTCCAATGATGGTGGTGTCACCACCAGTGCTTAACAGTCAGATCAATTGATCATAATGGTGTTTCCATCTATATGCAAAGAGCAAAAGAACAGCACTCTATATACAGCAGAATTACAAAAGGATTCCAAAGTTTGCAGACTGTTCCCACTCCACAGCAACCTCTTTTCGGGGAGCTTTTATTTACTTTTTAATAGAACCTTAAGGACTTCCATAATCTTAATAGCTTCTCTGCAGACAATCTGCATTTGCTTCAAGATAAGTAACTCCCATTGCTCTTACCTATCAGAAGAGGTCTAGTCTTTCACAGGTTGCTGTGAAGGAAGACAAACAGAAGAACTCTGCTCCTTAAATATCGCTACACTTTCTCTGCCTTTCTATATCAAGGGAAACTGGAGGACTTGTATTGAGAGACTATGCAAATTCTTTCATCACCTTATGAGTAAAGGGATACACAGTCAAAAGCACTTTAAAAAACAATTCTAGTTACATAAAGCCAGCAGGACCAACAGCTTTAATTTAGAACTCAATTTTTGTCTCTTAACTTGCAAAGTTAGCAGGAATCAACTGCAAACTATTTTACTACTCTGTCTTTTCTGCCTGGCATTCAGCTGCGAGGCTGTCACAGCAGGAACTGACAGTATCTGATGTGGATGGCAGAAAGAACAATACACCAAGTTCCAGCCCCATATCTCTAATCTGCTTTACTAGCATGCCAGAAGCAGTCTTCATGAAAAGCTAACAAAATTAAGTTTAATAAGCTATCTGTACTGGAAACAGTGCTTAAGTACATACGCGAATATACTACAGGAGCCCTAAAAATTGTTAGTAGTAAAGGAAATAAAAGCCATGTTTAGGGCTAAGCAACTAACGTGCACAAAACAGTACGATCAAATTCAAAGAAGCTTGCAGGAATGGGAAAGGACGCTTTTCTACACAGTTCTACCAAATGGCAGCACTAATCAGTTTGACAAGAACTCGTCATGGGAGGAGATACCATTTTGAAGGTAAGGGTGAAAACAAAAAAGTGTAGACTTCTAAATATAAAAGCTAGCTACCAAAGGATAAGCCAACCTGGACAAGTCATAACAAGGTCAAAGCCAATTCTGGAAGCTGAAAACCAAAGGAGATACTGGAGAAAGGACTGTAAACACGGATCATGGTATAGAATTGCAATTGCTTGATTTTGATTTTCCTCTTTTGTTAACTTTTCCTAGTTTTCTCACGAAGAACTTGACCTTTTGCTTTGCTGGAAAGTATCTGACTCCTCCTATAGGCTTATTTGGAGGCAAAGGCCACATCCTTTTTACTGCATATCATTTACTCAAGAACAGTGAATACGAGCCAAGTGGCATTGCAGATAACACCTGCAACATGAGACAGTGTCAGCACTGGGGCTTTTTCGCCTTTTTTGATGGTGGACAGAGAAAGAAATCAGAACAGAGGTGTTTCTCACCAATATGAGAATCAGTCTTGGAGCTAACAGAAAGCAAAGCATGATGTTTGGTGAAAAAGGCTTCCACTGGCAGGCCTAAGCCAGTGGCTTTCTGGAAAAGCAGCAGGTGATGAAGAAACAGTCCTTGGACTTCAAAGCAATTAATATCAAGATGTGGAAAGGTCTGATTTTTCTAAGATCTTAACTTGCCTTGATAATGTTGAAGAAGTCTATTCATCCTAACGTCCCACACCTTCACTGTGTTATCTGTACCAGCCGCAGCAATGCATGTACCACTGGGATGAAAATCCACATGATTCACAAACCTGTAAATTGCAGTTAAATCCCACTGTTTACATTCAATTCTTGCTAAAGATCAAAAAGGTCTTTTCAAGAAGGTCTTTTCAAGCTACATCATGATGCATCGAACATTACAGAAAGGAGGAAATAACCTGAAAATTCATATTGCTAAATTTCTCTTAAGACATTGCTTATAACCCCAAGTAGACTGCAGGATTATATCTAAGCATACTGTCTTCAACGTTTTGCATTACAGGAGTAGGAGCTGTAGATACAAGCCTCCTGAAGTCCGATGGATCTGACTGTCACAACAACATTTTCAAGTGTTCATTTAATGTTTGCATAATATACATCATCTATTAAATTAACAGGATTTCTAGAGTGGTGTGTACAAGACTGAACAAATATTTTTCTTCTGTTACTCTTAACCAGTTTTAAGATAGAACTTACTGAATTTGTGCCTGAAATCTTATGTTGTCACTTAGAAGGCAGCGAGGCTAAGAGCAAATTCCTTTCTGGACTTGTATGCAATCAACTCTTATTCTGAACACACAAGTACAGTAAAACCTTCAGAACCTTCAGCAAAGAGCACCTTGTAACTCCTCACCCAATCCATACAAGAAATTGGATAAAATTATTTACCCTTTGAGTATTCTTGTAATAAATGCTGAGAAAGCAGAGAGATTTCAATTGGTTGTTTGGACGAGTTACATTCTTAAAAGCACTGGAAAAAATAATGCTGTCTGAATTTGTCTTAGTATCATTGTATATCACCTGGAAAGAACAAAACTTTGTACTTAAAAATTCAATGCAACAAGAAACTAGGAAGATTCCAGTCTCAGTTCTCCAAGGACTTGGTTTGTGTTTCTGGACAAATTAAATTTTGCTGTGGCTCAATATTCTCCATGAAAAAAGATCCCAATTCAACAGCTGTATTTCTGAATATATAAAGTGTTTTTTGGAATAACTTTGTATTCAAAAATTTCAGAATGAAACAAAGCATCCGAGTATCAATCTTTCAGTACACTTTTGATCTTTTAATTTACTTCAACTCAGAGCAAAATAAAAAAGCTTAACAAAGCTAGAAGAAGAAATAAGAATTTAAGCATCTCCAAAAATAAGCAAGCATAAAGAAACTAAGGCTTGACGTGTTGGACAGTTATCAAAATATAAGCCTCAAGGTTCCAATCCGGACAAGTGATAAAAAGATCAAAGCAATTTTGGAAGCTGTCTTTGCATCTCATCCTCTGCTGGCTGCTTTTGTAATAGGTGCTAATGACTTTGTTTTAAGGGGTAGAAGTGATTGCCATGACAAGGACCTCTGACTACAGTCACAAAACAAGGTGTACATTCACCAGGCATCCCCATTTCAGCAATCATAAGAAGGTCAGTCCTCGTGCACCATCAGGTACTTACCCCCCATGCTCACAGAAGGAGTGTATACATTCTCTGCTGGTTTTATCCCACAGTTTGACAGTTTTATCATCACTGGCTGACACTATTAATCGTCCATCAGGAGAGAATCTAAGACAAGAGTTACAGCAATTAAGAAGTGTCCCCAAACTAAAGGAGTACAGGATCAACGGGATTTGGCCAGCTGTCAAGAACTATGATGAACTTTTCACCTACAGAGAAACCGTGGCTTTATCCTAAATACACATGTACATAAAAATTCCTCAGAAAAAATGAGATGGAAAACTGAAAACCAAATCTGAGACAGTTACCAGGAAATAATGTTTTTATTATGGCAGCACTTTCAGCATTTTGGAAGGAGCTCAGGTGATCATTTTTAGAGGCACAACAAGTCTAAAAGTAACTAAGCTGAAATAACAATTATAACGTAAGTGTCTCATTTCGCTTCTCTTAGTGACTTCAAGATGCAAAAGTCTCCATACTAGGTAAAAGCAAATCACTAGGCAGGAAAGCCTCCGCTTGACAAAGATTGCTGGAGAAGCATCAAGTGAGATCCGAGGGATCTCTCTGCAAGTCAGCAGTATATTTCAGGCACTATACACACTTGAATCACCCTGAATAGAATGATGCTCAGTCTCTGCTTTGAGGGATAAATCCCTATCTCTATTCATCAGAAAGCCATACTCACCTGGCACAGCGAACCCAGTTTATGTGTTGACTAAGTGAGAACAGAAACTTCTGCCTGTGAACCGTCCACACTTTGACTGTTTTGTCATCAGAAGCTGTAACTAAGGACTGGCCATCGCTGGAGAAATGAACACTTCTTACAGTTGCTGTATGAGCCTTGAAGACAGTAGATTCTCCTTTGCTATACAGAAGGAAAAAATACTTTAAAACTGCACAACAGGACAGCAAAGACATTATGTACCAGAAAACAAGCTTCTGTATGCTGAGCAGTACTATTAACCACCATTTCTATGGGAACTGCACGTGTTTACATTAGGAAGAAAATGTTGATCAACCCCAAACAAACTCATGCTTCATGAGCTATGCAGAATACACAGCTAAAACCAGTTGTTCCAGTTCAATACTGCAGCCCAATCCAACAGGAAACAACCCATGTTTCCTATAAAGGGGCAAAAATGCTATTGTTAATTTGTGCAACTATTTAAAACAACATTTATGGAAACATCAATATGAAAGAAGATGCTGAGTTTCTGTAATGTTTCCAGGTCCTTTGCTAAAAGGCAGGTGAGGAGGGAGGTAAGTGTTTTCACCATTCATCTAGACAGAGCCAAGCAGGCAACTACCTCACAGCTATTCCTGCAATGGCCCATACTCCAGCTGAATGCTTCCGATGCAGCATCACACAAGAAATAACACAACTGAATTCAGCATGTCTGATGTTGTACAACTTTGAGCAAGCTACCATTAACTCAGCCAGGCAAGACAAAAGACAAAGTATTGTTATTCTTCTTTACCCATCATCTCCAAATAAATGCAAGAGGCATTCTTCTGGCAAATAAATGTAAGGCATATTTAGAGATCCAAAGCACAACATATTTAGAGATCCAACAGGTATATGAAACTCTTGGTCCAAAATAAATCTCCAGCATGTACTATGCTACCCGGAGCTCCACATTCACGGACAGAAGAGAACAACAGAAAGACATGGTGGTTTGCTGCCTTCTCCATTAGGATTTAATAGACTTTACACTGAGGCTAAGGACTGCCAAAACTGTAAAGGCCAAAAAAATCAAAATACTATTTACCTTCCAGCAATATTCCCTCCCTCCTCAGAAAAGGTCAGAGCTGCCTGGTTTTATTTAATCCTTTAGCTGCCAGAAGGCAAGAAACAGTAAAGGTAACTTCTCAGGAAAGTTTTCTTTCTGTCCAAAACCACAGAAAATCCTCAAGTCTGATAAAAACTCATGCAGAAACATGAAATTACAAAATTCTGTCAGCATGGCTTATAAAAAACAAATTCCAAAGACAAACGTCCACACACCAGTATAGCATTAACTCCTTCAGTAACATATCGCCCTTGAAAGGGATTGCAAGTTTTCAGATTCTTTGGAAATAAAGTCCTGGCCCACAAACAGACTATGGGGCAGCTTCTCCCTTCCCTTTTAAGGACAGTGCAAAACTGACAAACTGAAGGTCTCAAACCTTGATTCAACCTCAGGGCTCTTCTTTTTGTTCTATCTAGAGAAGGTAAACTGACAAAGAATACTAAATAAACACAGATTCAAGGTGCCATGCACTGAGGTATTCACAACCGGCATAACCATAACAACTCCCTTTCCAACTTCCCTGGCCCTTTTCTGACACGGCGACCATACGGGCAGTTTAGACTACAGAGCTCACATCCCTAAGCAACCAAGACAGAACCACCCAACACATCATGTAAGTTCAGTTTTCCCATCACATCCCAGTCCTTTATTAAAATTTGTACTCTAGCTTCTGAGAAATCTAACAAGTTTACACTGAAATTTATTTTCAACATTGTTAGCAGCACAGCTCTGGAGATAGCAAAATGACAGTTAGTCTCTTTATAGCAGATTGATGAGCAGCAAGATTAAGTTTTAATCATAATCCACCTTGTGCCTTTTAATAATATATATGCTGACATGTCATTGTGATCATTTCTTCCAGGAAAGTTTAACTAAACTGAAATTAATTATAATTGAAGTTACAAGCTGCATATTTTAGTTTTATTGCACTATAAATTAAGTTTTAACTTCATGCAAATTCTACCATATTTACTGTTTAGTCACTCTGCCATTATGAAAGCACTGAGACAGTTCTGTAGCTAAAGGATAAACTGGAGTTTGCCCAAAAAGCGGGGCCTATACTTTTGTCACACATGAATAACAGCGTATCTGCCCCAGATGCGTAACTCATTCTGAATTAAGTGAGCACTAGGAATTTACGTTTGCAGGAGTTCAGGCATTCTGATAGTTTCAGGTGAGTGTCATGAGGATTAATGGGTAGGGGAAAATGGGGACATCAATCTAGTTTAACTTAGAGCAGGGTATTACTCTAGCAAACATTATCATAGATATTTAAAAGTAACTTTTATCACAGATTTTAAAAAGTCACTTTCAGAACCATGGCAGAGTTTACTTGTGGTTTAATAGATCATCGAATAAAGCTTCCAATGGGTAATCATAACCAGAATAACTCATCAAAAATAAACATCTAGAAATGCTTTCCCAGGTTCCTGAAGTGACATGTTTATCTTAAAGTTGGAATATGTTTTTTGCGTGGTTTTGTTTGGTTTGGGGTTTTCTGTTTGGTTTTTTTTTTTTAAATCCCTTTTATTTGCCACCACAATCATCAGGTCTGCTTCTGGACACAATCATTTAGTCTTTGATAGCAGCAATTTACAACCTCACAAGGAAAGGAACCTCAAATACCTTTATACATGCCTGTCCATTCAGCAAAAACAATCCCACTGTTTAGTGTGGGAACCAAGAGACCAGAGGAAATGCTGGCAGCTGCTTTTCTGCATCCTGACTGCAAAAAGCTTCTCATTACTTGCAGCAAGTTTTCAAGCAGTTCTGCAGCTCTCTCCTGTTTGTGTTGTATTTCAACTAAGTGTTCCTTGTTGAAGGCATATCACTTAAAACAATGCATCGCAGAGTAAAACAATAGAAGTTCTGAGGTCTCTCAGCCAATGATTGTCAAGGACTTGACAGGCATTAATGAGTTAAGGCAACTAAACACTACTCAAAAATGGAAACTTCATAAATATATATTAAGATGGCTAAGGTATTTAAAGGGTAAGTAAATTCTTATTAATCATATGCAAGCTCACAAAAAGTCAATACACAATCCGAAGTAGTCTTTCATCTTAATAATATGCCATCATTTACTATCAGTGGAATGCAGAGCTATTAGTTTGAGACCAAGAAATAAAGATTAAAGATACCTAACCGTTTTGTGGACTACAGCAAGCACACAAGCTAGTAACCTCCACCCTGCTCACAGAACAGGTATCTCCATCACTAAACCCCAACTTGTGTTTCAGCATCTTGCTTAACACTGGCAGAGAAACAAAGGATCAATTTGCTAGGAGGAAGGACAGACTGGGGGAGGAAGGGGAAGAAAAATCCAGTAATTCACCACTGAAAAGTTACATTAGTGACTTTTTATATTAGCATAGGAAGTTAATACTTTAAGCCTTGCAAAGGATTTTGGTTTTGTTTCCAATGCAATTTCAAGATCAAATTACCGCTCCTCTGTCAGAGCTGCTACATAAAATGGTTCTTCTTTCCTTCAAACAGACCCCAGTCCCATAGCTGGAGAACTGCTATCAAGAAGCAAGGGGAAATCCCCATCCATGGACAAAACACAAAAAGAAAGACAGAGGGGAATAGACACTTACACACTGGGAACCCACAAACGGACTGTTTTGTCTCTAGAGCCTGAAGCCACCAGGTGACCAGAAGGTGAAAACTGAACACACATCACTGCATCTTTGTGGCCCACAAAGCGATAGGCTCTCATCTGAGGTCTCATACTCCAGATCATCAGGCACGAATCCATCGAGCCACTTGCTGAAATAAAGAGACAAAACAAAACCAAACTTGCATTAGTTCTCCTCCAATTACACTGAAACCACATTTCACACTCAGTTCACCATCACAGCTTCCAGCTATCTCAAGCACATTGTCCTTTGCACTTCACCAAGGTATTGCATACTGTATATTTCATTAGTAATTCAAACAAAACAAAGTCATGCATTGGCTTGGACTGACAATTCTACTTCCAAGAGTCAGTTCATGCAACACCTGCAGAGGGAAAAGTTGCAAAACTTCTTCCAAATACATACACACTAAGGAAACACGTAGAAGGTCTGTGGACAGAAGTTCTCTCATCACTTTTTTATTGGGAAGCAGATGCAGCTATCAGCTGCAGCAGGATAAATACCAAGTAACACACTACAGATTAAGCAGAGAAGCCCTGTGACAGCTGGTGACTTAAAGGCAACCCAGCTACATCCCCCTCCAACATCTCTCTCTTGTCATTGCAAAACACTGATTAAAGCCAGCTCAGCAGTTCAATAATTTATGAAAAATCCAAGCTTGCAAAGAGATTAGAGCAGTGTTCAGTTTGCTATCAGCAGGAGGGGTCAGCAGGACTTCGTGGTACTCATGGGAGGCTTTAAGGAACTATGGATGGAGATGAGGTCGCTCCATCTACTCACACCCACTCTTCCATTCTCATGCCTATACTCACCTGCGGAAAGAAAACCCAACCAACAACCACCACAATTTGCCTTTACTCTTGGGCTTCCGAGAAGGGAAGAGGGCAAAGGCACTCTCCAAAGACAAGAAGGAAGAGAAAGGGCTGGAGGGAGTCCCCAGAGGACAAAGACTGTACTTACAGGAAGGCAGTTGTTCCCCAGGACAGATGGTGCTTTTTCAAGATCTCCCTCAGCAGCAAGAGCAAAGGGTCACACAAGTAGGAGGCAGAATTCAGGTGTGCATGCTACATCCATTGCAAGCACAACTGATCGCATCTTCCACAACAGCTCCCTTCTTTGCCTTGCATCCCCAGCAGGACACACTGCTTGCTGTAGGCAGTGGCCAGCTCCAACTTGACAGCAGCACATCTCAGATGAGAGCTCCCAGACATCTCCATGTCACTGAACTTCATACAAGCTACATCCCCCTCCCTATCTGACAGGGGCTGTATCAATCCCTGACAGGAATACCAGGCAACAGGTTTCCCAAATGCAAGTGTAAATTCCACTTCATTCTAAAACACCCCTCCTCAGGTCCCATCACCACCTTTACACGGTGAAAACTGAAGAGCTGCTCGTCCCTTAAAGCCCGACGTATTGTGCGAAGTCTGCAGCGCTGAGACCCTAGCGATTTGTAAAAGAGCAAAGATAGGCGTGCAGCAACATAAAGTCTCAATGACAGTAAAAATATCCCTTCAAATCCATTTCAATGCCTAAATAACAGAAAACTTTGTAGATTTTCCACAGGCAAATACAAAATATACACATCTTAGCCTGCCAACAAACCCAAGCTGCATCTGTGTCTCTCTACCTGAGTGCCAAGTGGGGCATATCTCCAGAGAGATCTTAGGATGTTCCTAGAAAACAACATCAGTTTGATGGTAGGTTCTGATATGGCAGTATCATAAATACAATATCTCAGTTCATTAGCGTTATGGCAAAATACCAAATAGATTTTGCTGGAAATGTCCTTTTATTTTACAGTGATTTCAACACAAAAATAACAGTCATCTCTTTTCCTGCTATTGATTCAGGATTAATATATACCCATTTCAAACAGGATCATTCATTATGCATGTCCCCCACAGAGAAACAAAAATCCTTACATATTTGTCAGTTCAATTGTTGGTTTTGTTTGGTTTTGTATTTCATATAGGCAACACCTTTCCTTAGCGATATAAAAATTTAAGGGGAGACAACTGTGTAAAAACAGATTGAGCGCGTGACCTAGTGTCAAGAGATTTGAACGTTAGTCATAACTACACTAAGTCATTGCCTGGCAAGGATATTAAGTTGCAATACCACAGCTTCCCCAGGACTGATGTTAAAAAATTCAAGGAAAATAATGCTCTGACATTTCAATAAAGCACTTCAGTATGATACTGCTTATATATGACTTGTTGGCAATAACCATTATCGTTACTGGATTGGGCAAGCAATCTAATGGAATAAAGAGACCAAGTCCTCTAGGTTTGGTTGGGTTTTTGGGGGGATGGAAATAGGGAAAAAGAACTTTAGAATCTCATAAGAGTCAAGTACACACAACTGACTCAACTGTACCGGGAAAAAAAAATATTCTTAGAATTTGTTCCCTTTCTTACCTGATCTCATTTACTAAAAATATCGAGACTAACCCTTTCATGGTCTAGATGGAGGCAAAGGTTCCCGTGCTACTTCCGAAAGGCCATTCAAAAGCAATGCTAAATTACATTCAGAGCACCCTTGCTAAATACTGACGGGATAAAGTTTTAGGGATACACAAACAGAATCACAAACGCAGAGCAAACTCTTGCTCTGCAATCGAAGACACAGAAGTGGAAAGGAAAAGATAGTAGACAACAATAAAAACAGCAGCAGGGAGAGAGGGGGTCCAAGACAAGTTTGATTCATTTTCATTTCCTTGCAGCTTCCAGAGTGTTGTGTAGGTTGCAAGATCCAGAACAGGATTACTACCAGCTAGACTGCTGCATTTCTATTTATTCATGCCTACTGCGCCCACTGCCTACCCACATATATTGCCTCAAACTATCATTTCTGCCTTATCTTCTCTGCGAGCCAAAACAATGTTCACCATGCCACACAGACTGAACGGCGACTTCACTAAGCCAAAAACCCTCCTGGTTCCTACTCAATGCATACATAGAGGGTTCCTGAATAGCAACTAGGACACAAGCCTTGGCATAACCACAGGCAGCTGTCTAAAGGGTAGAAATGGAAGATGGAGAAGAAAAAGTAAGGTTTTACCTTAAGTTGACTGCATGGGAAAGCCAGGTACGTGAAATGATAAGCAACGGTAGATGCCCCTAAAGCTCTAGCAGGATGTACACAGTCTGCCACCCCTATGGTTCAACAACATGATTTTTTCCAAAGCACACAGAAATGTTCATCCTGAAATCCTCCAAAATCTCTTCATCATGAAAACAAGTTATTTGCTCTTGTAGAGCTCAGTACCTCCACTGCTCCCTCCATTTAACTAAAGCAGAGAAGCTCTTTCTTTATCATCTGGCCATCAAAACACAGAGGGACAATTTACCCAATTGTTTCTTATTGAGACTGAAGTCCACACTAGTGACAGCATCTCTGTGGCCTTTGAAGTGTCTCTCCAGGGATGGATCTTCCTAGAAGACAATAAAGTTCAGACACCATAGATTAAGAATCATCTTCATACAACAAAACCATTTTATTCCTATGACAAGCGAACCAAGCCACATATCCACCCCGCAAAAGCCGGACAGAGATAAGAATACCGTGCAATGCAAAATGCGAATTTCACGTGTATCGACAAACTTTAAAAGAGGCAAATTATCCAAGCTGATAACCCCCTGGATCTTAGGTGACTCACGAATCATTCATGCATTTTTACAACATGCTGCTGGTGCAGAGACCCCAAAGCTGACTTTGGAGCAGATCAGCCATGTCGATGACCACCTGAGCAGGCAATCAAGCTCAACTTTGGTCTGACAGCTGCTCATCTCAGCCTGGGGGTAGCCAAGAGGCCACTGTTTGCACAGAGGGACAAATTTGCAAGACTTAACACACCTGTCAAAACAGACAGGTAGAATCAGAACTGCAGCAAAACAGACTGACCCACTACCCTTCCCTTATGTCTGGGGAACACAGCATGTCCCTACACAGCACCTTACTGCAAAGGCCAAACAAAGCCTGAGGTCAGCAAAAAAAAAAAAAAAAACAAAACACTGAGACAACTGTTACAAGAGGTTGTAACACTTGAAAACTGTGCAGACCTCAGAACAGGCTGATCAGCCTTCAATCCCTGCTCTCACACACACAGCCTCTGCCTCCCTGTCAACCCCCACCACAGCCTGCTCCCCCTCAGGATGTGACCGCAGCTCCAGCCTGCTCAAACAAGCAGCCAGCCCCAGAAGAGCCGGGCTGACCTCCCCCCACAACACCCAGCACCAGCCCTCCCCAGAGCCAGACCTCCTCCCACCTGCACCAGCCC